GTAAAAAGACTATTGGGTAAGAAATGAAAGTAATAGAAAGTGATATGATTAATCCCTTGCCGGGATGGTTTGAGTGAATTGATTATCTCCCTTGCCGGGATGTGAAAGTTATTGTGGTTGCTCCCTTGCCGGGATTTAGCTGTTTAATTATGTTCTTTCCTTGTCGGGACATTTCTTATTGTTTGTTTATCCCCGTGCCCCGTTTGGTTGTGATTACTGTTTGGGTGAGGAAGAGGGATAATGCACGAAGGGTCATTCCGTGCCATGTTTGATTTATATTTGCACGAAGGGTCATTCCGTGCCATGTTTTGATTATATTTGCACGAAGGGTTATTCCGTGCCATGTTTTGATTATTTATGCGCGAAGGGACATTACGTGCTCTGATTTGATTAAAATTGCATGAAGGATCATTCCGTGTCATGATATGAGAGCTATGTGAGGGAAAGCACGAAGGGTGATGCCGTGCACTTTATTTGATTGCTTTTGGTGAGAATGAGAGCAAAAGCACGAAGGTTGATACCGTGCAACTGTTGATTTTTTTCCTGCTCTCATTAATTATTGTTATTGCCCTGTTTCTTACTTAAATTGCTGATTTTATATCCGGACTGTGCTTTCCCCCATAGTATGCTCCCTCCCTCTTAACTGTTTAATTTCTGTATTCTTTCCTTGTATTGCATATATATATACATTGATTTGCACAGGTTGATTTGGTAGTCCTGTCTAGCCTCGTCACTACTTCGCCGGGGTTAGGCCAGGCACTTACCAGCACATGGGGTCGGTTGTGCTGATGCTACACTTCTGTGCTCTTTTGCACAGATCACGGTACGGAGCAGCTTTTGGACCACAGCAGTAGGATATTGATCGGGAGCTGACTTCAGTCCAGGGACTTACGAGGTAGCCTAGCTGGCGTTCGCAGGCCGGAGTCCCTTTCTATGTTTTCAGTTTGTTTTCATTGTACCGAGACAGACACTTATGTAATTCTATTCAGATTTGTTTGTAGCACTCTTTAGTAGTTCGTGAGATAGCGACACCAGTCTTGGGTAGAGAAATGTTAAACTTCCGCATTTTGGGTTTTTCAGTTATCTGTGTTTTAGAGACTTCCGCTTTAATTTAAATGACTCGTTATATTTATATTGTTCTTGTTGAGGTGAAATCAGGGAATGTTTAAAAGGCTTGGCTTGCCTAGCTCCGATAGTAGGCGCCATCACGACTCCCGATGGTGGGAAATCCGGGTCGTGACACCCTAATACATCTGCCCAACCTCCTACAACAACTACAAACAATCCCCAGCCCTCAAATCCCACAAACGAAGCCATGAATTACGCAAAAGCTGTGAACCCTACTTCGACGACCACTGCCATGCAGAATTTAGCCGCTACAGTTGAACCAATTGCTCTTCGTCTGTCAAAATCAACGAATTAAACTTACCCTAAGCGATTGTAATGGAGTGATAATGGAGGAGAACTAGAGAATTTGGGTGGGAGAAGAGGTATAAATCGTGGGTTGAGGGAGAAAGAGTAAAGTGTATGCAAAAAGAGAGAGAGAACGTGGTTAGTCAATTTTACAGTGATTATGTGAGAGAAAAGACTAAAAAGGAGAGAGAGAAATATTATTTAGCATATATGGTGCCTTAAATGTAGAATGTAACTATAATTAGATATTTGGCTATAAAGTATAAAATGTATCTATAGGATGTAATATTTTAAATGGTATTTATTTAAAATAAATAGGGTACTAAGGTTTTCTATAGGGTGTAAAAATTCCATAAAACTTCCCGAAATTGGATCGACCAATCTTTATTGTCCTGATCCCAATTAACTCATCTTCCCACCAAAAGGAAAAAAGAAAAAGAAGGGATAATACATAATTATCCTTCGGGGTTGCTTTGTTTTACGAGATGCATCCTTTAATTTTGTGGGGGTCCTATGACCCCCATTGTTGTTTAAAGTAAAATAAATTACCCCTTTTTCATGAACATCGGTTTCACAAAAATACGTGAAACACACGCACCAGTCACGTGATGCCATGCCATTTTCATTTACTAATACTATTTTTTTATTTTCTTTTTAGTCATTATTTATTTTATTTATCTTTTGTTTTTCTTTTCTTTCTTTTCTTCTTCTCCGTCAACATTGCCGCCACTTTAGCACCAATATCACTGCCATGACAACCATATCCACCACCAAAACCATCATACCACCACAAAATTGAAATCAAAAACTAAGTCACCACCAAATTATAATCCCAAAATTTTAAATTCACCACCTAATAATAATCTGAAAATTAAAGTTAGCTTCTAACCAAAATCTGAAAATTAAAATCACCATTAAACTAAAATCTGAAAAGTTAAATCATCACCAAATCGAAATTCTATCGCTACCGATTATGGGTCATTCTTCCACAACAATATTAGGGGTTAAAAAAGAAAAAGAAAAATTAAGAACGAGTAAAAAGAAGGAACAAAAGAAAATTAGTTCCATTTTTAGTTTGCCACAGTATCCGTTACTTTGTGGGCTGAATCCTTCAACTGTAGTTGATGCCATTGGTGCGAGTGAAATTTTAAAATACTAAGATATACAAGTGATAGTTGAAAAATAGTCACAATTTCAAAAGTAATCGAAATTTAGCCATTTTTCATGTAAAGATAAATCTGAGCGAAAACACTGTACAAAATCCGGAAAATATTCTTGTATAATATACTGGAGTTCCAGCATAATATACTGGTCCATCATAATATGCTGGAAGTTCATACACAGGTAATCCAATCTCCAGTATATTATGTTGGAACTTTCCGTGTGTTGGAGTTGCAGCATAATATGCTGGATATTCATACACAGGTGCACCAATCTCTAGTATATAAAGTTGGAACTTTTGGTGTTGTAGCAAAATAATGCTATTTTTCAATGACTTTTCAAACGCTGGCTATTTTTCAATTAACAGTTCAAAAACATACAAGCCCGTGCTATTTTTACCATTGGTGCTTGTTTGGACTTTAGATTATTCAAATCTTCTTCTACCAAAGAGGACCAATTTTTCAATTTCAATTTGAAGAAGAAAAATGTGCTAGTCAATGTCTCTTCAAGATCTTATCCGAGGAAAAAACATATTTAGACAATATTTAAGAAAATTTTACTGAATTCTAGTAGCAGATAGCAATTAACAAATACGGCAGCTAATGAAATACATTTATAGCAGGAACCTATAATGTTGGACCAATCCCATTAAAATAGGGATTAGTAATTAATAATTATTCACATAACTTTTGAAATCTTCCCCACAATTTTCTCTCCCCCATTTAATGACTTGTACTATTACTGTGCCAATGCTAAAATGTCTCTACAGTTAAAAAAATTCTTCACCCTAAATCCTTTCCTTTGGCGCCTATTCAATCCAACTTTTGTCTTCAACTTATTCTTTTACTTCATTCCTCCTTCACCCAACTGATTTTACCTCTAAATTTTATGCATATAGTATATTAAATTTAATAATTCATGGTGTTGTATAATTATTAAATACATGATGAATAATAATGTTATATATGAATATATTACTAGTATATATTCATAGTATATCTTAATGGTATATACATATTATATTATATTATACTTGTGGATTACAATCATATACAACATATTTTAATGGTATACACAAACTATATAATTCTTTGAGAAAAAATTATGAATTATATAATATAATATTATTGGTATAGTATTTATATTATTTAGCTATACGTAGTATATAATTCTTTATACATTTATTTTTTTAATGCATGTACATATACTATGTATATTCAAGATATATTAAATTTAATAAGTCAATTTACTGTATCGTTATTGAATTATTTTATATTCAGTATATAAAATAATATTATTGGTATAGTATTTATTGAAGTATATAATATGATATTATTGTTATAGTATCTATATTATTTGGCTATACATAGTCTATAAGTATTTTAACATATATTTGTTTAATTGATGAACATATACGATGTATATTCAGAATATATTAAATTTAATAAGACAACTTACTGTATATTTGTTGAATTATTTTATATATTCAGTACATATACATCTCATATATAACCTCAAGGCTAAACCACTGCCACCACAAGTCCATCATACACAACCTTCAACAACTACCAATCAATCCTCAAAAAACAACACTCAACACATCTTTTTTCTAAGAGAAGAAACAAGAAGGAAGTAAATGAAGAATAAAAGGGGGAAAAAACGAGAAACATAAAAATCAACTTCAATGGCCACTAATTTTTAAAATAGCTTTCCAAGTGGTCAAACATGTATTGACGAAGAATAAATAAGGTGATCAAGATTTACTAATCCACATTAATAGCACAAAGTGTTTCCATATGCTACCAGAAAAATCATACTGGTTTCTGATTGGTAGTGACATAGCAGGCAAGGGGTGGAGAGATTAATGGAGTTGTGGGGCTTAGGGTTGAAAGAAGAAAGATAAATTACGTTGAGGATAGATAAATATGGTGATAAGAATAAAAATGGATCCCGTGATTTGTGCAGTTAATTTATTACTTTGAAACATAATTTTTTATATTAGGCTAATAATGTGAAAGAATCTGCTATTTATGGAATAAGCTAGAATTGATTCTATTTTTCTAAAATAAATTAAGAAAAGGATCAAGCGTATAAAAAAAGAATTACCGCTCCAATTACCAAGGGCTACATATTTTTCTTTTCCATCCAGATGAAGAGATAACGAGATGAAAACAAAAAAGAGATGGGTGTGAATGGTAAAGTTGCATACGGAGAGATAAGTAGATGAAAAGAAGAGAGAGAAAAACAAAAGAAAAGGAAAAGAATGAAGAGAAAATAGAAAAAAGATTGTCTTGGGGCTTTTCACGCGCTAAACTGAAGTGTAAACCATAACATATGCCACATCAGCTCAAAAGGTGCTATTAATTCCAATTTTAACAAATGCAAGGGGGTCATAGGAACCCCACAAAATTAAAGAGTGCAGCTGGTAAAACGAGACAATCCCAGGGGTAATTATGTATTATTCCGGGAAAAAAAAACAAAAGTAAGTTGAATATAGACATAACATATGAATTTCCAGACCAGGAGGGTAAGGGGGGTAGGGGGTCTGGAGGAAATGAAGTACCAACAATTAACTAGAATGTCATAACAATATGAGTGCCAACAATAAGAGTACCAATAACATGTATATTCTCATATATAATATATATCCCCTTCTTGTTTAGCTCCATGAGAACTCGATAATTACTGCACATGATTTGATATTCAGATTGGTGAAGAAACAATATATCATGGCACATCAATTCTTCACAACTTAGAGCATTGCTTATGAATGAAGTCCTTAATCTCAGAAATTAAGTGTGTAGATTCAGGTAGCTCTGGGAAAATGTAGAAAGCATGCACCATGGTTGGATACTCTAACATGTAGACTTCTTTGCCTGACTTCTTTAACCACTCGTAGTACCTCCTTTGCCAATCTTGAAGGGAATCAAAACCACCCACAACTACCACCGTTGCCGGAAAATCCAGCTTTGATATGTCAGCGGCCCTTGGGCCGCTAACATTGATAGCCTCGTGGTCCCGGTCCATCCCTTCACCTGGTGGCAGGAATGCCTTCCATGTCCAGTCCGTTCGAGTCACTGATATCAATGGGTCAATCTTTGCTAGTCTTGCTTCTGCTTCAGTTCGTTCCTCACCTCCGAAAAATGGTTGTATGGCCACCAGTCCAATTACCTTTTAGAGTCAGATGATCTTTCAATACGTAATTCAAATAATAAGAAATAATATTTGGAAGGCTGGTAATATTCAATAGGGTGGCAAACGAACGGATCGGGTCGGATATGGGGCTGAAAAAAAGGTAATGTAAAAACGGATAAATTATTCGACCCGACCCATATTTAATACTTATAAAAAACGGAGAAGGGTCAAATATGTCCTTATACTATTGAAAAAGGTTTAATATTATCCTCCGTTATACTATCAGTCCAAATATATCCCTAACGTTATACTATCGGTCCAAATATATCCCTGACATCATGAAAGTGGTACAAACCTACCCTTCCTCCGTTTACTGCCTCCCCTATGAACACATTTGATTGCTACCTCACTATTTCACCCTGTTTGCAGCTACCAAGTTCAATTACTTTGAAGTTCTATCATTATTTTGAAGACTTCACTGCCTATACTTCCTCTTGCTTTTCAAAATACTTGTTGCTTCTCCGGCCGACCCTGGAATTGTATGTACCTTTCACTTGACCTTACAATTTTGTGTTTTATTTTGCATTTCCTTGTGTTGTCGCTGAATTTGTAAGACCTATTTAGGAAAAATTTAGTAGCACTTTTATTTTAACATAAAACGTAAAGAGAGAAAAGATGGTAGCCTCCCAGAAATGTGGTTTAAGAGAAAGAAACAAAAAAAATTAACTCTCGTGTCTAGGTTGTTTTTCTATCTCACCATGGTCAATTTTGATACCTTAAACTAGTTTGCCTGTATCTTTGCTTAGTTTTTTATATAAAACAAAATGTATTTTCGTTCATATAAGTATGAATTTTGAATAGCAAAATCAGAATTTTCACGTTTCACATTATTTCATATTATCTTTAGTTGTTAGCATTCCTTTTGATATAGTTTGTTTGTATATCTATGATTTGTGATTTTTCTTCAAATGAATGGGAAAGAAAGGTTGTGCGGAAGGGATGAAAATGGGAGTATAGTGGTGAGGTAGCAATGAAATGTTGTCATATGGAGGTAGTTAACAGAGGAAGGGTAGGTTTGTACCACTTTTATGATGTCAGGGATATATTTGGACCGATAGTATGACGTTAGAGCTATATTTGGACTGCTAGTATAACGGAGGACAATATTAGACCTTTTTCAATAGTATAGGGCTATAAAAAATGGGTTAATCGACACATAATATGGATATCCATATTATCCATGGCTTCTTAAATATGATCACTTTTAGGAGAATTTCTAGTCTCCCAAATTTGAGGAATCCCAATTTGAGTATTTGCAAATGTAAAAGTTAAACTCATTGGTTATGCATTTTTCAAGTGAATAATATGAATCTTTTCCATATTTTACCGATTTCTAAAAAGTTCACTCTGCAACCTATTTTTTAGCGGATAATATGGATGTATAACTTTTTTTTTTATCTATTTCTCCACCACTAATATTCAATTAGAGTGAAGCATTATTATCCATGTGGCTTTAATTAACTTGCCTCTTTATTTAATATTGTTATTCTTTAATATAATATAGATAGATGTGTGATTTTTTAATCTTCAAATAAATATTTATTTTATTTTAAATTAATACTCGAAATTATTAAATTGTTTAAATTTATCGATAATTTTTAAGTATTATATATTTACATTTTAGTTCTAAATTAATTCTTAGTATAAATATCCTCACATCATCTCTAATTTATTTTTATTATTTAATATTTTTAATTCTTTATTTTATGTATTAAACTTCAGTTATGTGGCCTTATCCACATTATGACCTTTCTTATCATGCTTTAAAAACTTCTTCATATCAATTTTAAATAAGTTTTATCTTTCTTTTCTTTACAATAAAGATTTTATTTTTTTCTCTATTTGTTCCTTATTTTGCTATTATATTATTCAATTTTTAATATAATGATATTGTCATGTAGCTTTTTATTAGTTTGTTTGAATTTAATATTCATTTTCAACTCATTCATTTTAATATAATACAACTAACAAATAAAAATTATTTCAATAGTAACTTTGACTCTATAGCTCGTATTCCAAAATATAATTTTTTTTATCATATTTAAAAAAAATCTCATCTCAAATTCAAATATATCTTATTCTTCTATTTGCTAAATTAGATCACATTTTCAAAAAAATCATCTTATGCTTTCAAACTTAACATTACAACACTCAATTCAGATATTAATCATCAAAAAATATAATTGTTGCAATAATGTTTTCAATATCATTTTAAGAAATATTTATTTATGTATAAAATATTCGTTTATCCAATTGGTCAAATTAATATAACCTCATTATTCTTGTTATTGAATATATATTTTAATTACTATATAATTTTTTTCTTACCTTATAAATAATTTTTTCTATTTTATATAAAATAAATTGCTACTTGAAGTCATCAAATCCTTAAATATCTTAAGTAAATTTATTCACTTTATTTATATTTTAACTTGTCCAAAAGCACAATCGTCATTGGTTATCTCAATATACAGCTTTCTATATTTTTTATTATTTTATTATTATGACTTTTAATTATTTTTCACTTCCATATTTTTAGCTAAAATAGAAGAAAAATTGATGATTGGATCTATACGATTACAAAATAGATATATAGATAAGATTTTTCTTTTAGGTTTTGTCTTAAATTCGCCAAGTGATATTTTCTCAATATCACTTGATTTAACCTCATACTTCACTACCCTTCTTTTAATATAATATAGATTAGTTTAAAACATGGTTAGATTTGGGTAAATAGGCCATACAGTTTTTATGGAATACCAGAAGGGCCAAAAATATCCTTATACTATTGAAAATGGAGCAGATATACCCTCCGTTTGAGTTTGGGAGAAAAAATATCCTTACCGTCACACAATAGGATCAATAATACCCCTCACAAACAGAAAAGTAAAAAAACATGATCAGAAAACTTTTAGAATAAGAAAAGATGACTTTTTCTTTTATTCTTTTCCTCCCGTTCTCTCTCCACGCCTCCTCTATTATTATGTCTGCTGCCTATCCAGATTCCCTATCTCTTCTTCTTCTTTGTTTCTTCCTTACGTCTTACTTCAAATCAAGTCAAATGCAGAAAAAATTCTATTAGAAATCCATCTTTCTTCACACAAAATTGAACCCATTTGCTTTATCTACACTCAAGTTTCACCTACGACCACCAGTTGTATCCAAATAAAAAAATCTGCCATTAGTACTATTGCGGAGTGCGCTGATGACATATTAGGTTGTCAAGTAAATAAATCTGTATACAAGTCATTTCTTATTACAAAACGAACTAGCTAGTCTGAACAAATTTTGGTTTTGGCTATCCAATTTTAATGTCCTTCAAGTATTATTCTTCAGCAAGTGGCAACATAGCCATCAAGATAAATTACAACCTTTCAAAAAATTTATCGTATTGCATACAAGTTGCTTAAAATTCAACATGAACTTACATGTGGGATAGTGAGCGGAGAAAACTAGCGTGTATGAGTGATATCAAGAGCAAAAATTTTCCAGCTAGAACAATTAGTACAGTGTATATGTCAAATTGAGTTTGCACCTATTTTGTGCAATAGTGGGTCGAATTAATGAGTAATTGATTTAGACTTTTTGACAAGAGTACTCAAGATTTGTACATATCCGTTGATTCGATACATATTTGCTCTTATCAATAAGATGGCTTAATTTGAGTTTAGCATTTTAGCCTGTCCATGTCAAAATTCTGCAAGTTCTCGATATATTTGCTTTGAGAAAAAAAATAACCTTTTTTATACAACAGGTGGCGCTGGTGGATGGAACTTGTGTGCATATATTAAGAAAAATAGGTTAGATTTTTGTGTGAAGAAAAATGTAATTATGGAGATTTTTTCTTGTATTGATTTGAATTAAGGGGTAAAAAAGAGAAAGAAAGATAGAAAAGAAAAAGGGGAAGCGAGCGGAATGAAAGGCATGGAGAGAGAACTGGGAGGGGAAGAAGAAAGAAAAGTCAACCTTTAAACTTTCTTTACTTTTCTGTTAGCCAGGGGTATTATTCATCCTACGGTGTAACGGTGAGGGTAATTTTACATCCAAATTCAAACGGAGAGTATATTTGCTCCATTTCCAATAGTTGAAGGATATTTTTGACCCTTTTCCGTTTCATAATTCCCAAGTCTTAAGACTGTTAAATTCTGAAAAGAAAAGGGAATGAAAGAAAAATAAAAGGGAAATGAAAGGACAGAGAGAATCTAAAGATCAATACTTAGATTGCGAGATAGTTATTGTACGCGTGGCGAGAAGCCTCTAATTAGAATCAAACACGCTACCAACTGTGACGGAAAGAAGTGAAGGGTACGGTAGGTAAGGTTTAATCATCAAGGAAGAAAATGAAAAATGAAATCATTACGACTAATAATGTACTTCACTTAAGAAACAATAAATAAAGTATATAATTTATCATAATACTTATATTAATTAGTGTATAGTCTTACTGTATTTGAAAAATAATTTGAAATAAGTAATTAATGCTAAGGACAAAACAGGAAAAATAAATTATTTTTTTCTTGATATCCAAAAAGTAATAAGTAAAACTAAAAATTCATTTTTAGAATACTTACAACGTGAACGAAGGGAGTAAAACAATTAATGGAATTCCTGGTTCATAAAATTCCTCTCATTTTATTCAAAGTTGAAAAGGCGGACACTTCGTAGTGCGGGGTTCTCTATTGGTGGACCACAATCTAAATCAAGACTGTTGTTGATTAACAAGTCTAAAGGAAGAGATTCGTACATGTTCAGGAATTGGTTAATCGATTTAGATTTATTAGTACTTCTTTTGGCTACACATATCACTTTCCATCTTGACTTAGCCAATATTGAAAGACTTGTGACAAAATAGGACAGAGGAACATCTTTCCCTGTAATATCAAGGGGTAGGATATATTAGGAAAAATAATATATATATATATATATATATTAGTTATTTTAGTCATTTAAGGACAATCTTTCCTTAGTTACTAGAATTTCACATGAATTTGAGACGTAAAAAAAAGTACATCAAATAAAAAGTTATGTTGCTTTCAATTTATCGTCCTTGTAATTATCAGTTCGATTTTCATATTTTCTTCTTCAATATTCCCATATTTCAGATAAAACGGAAAGCATTCCAAATTGTTTCCTTACCCGCGTTCAATGAAATTTTCGTATTTTTCGTAAATTACTTTTTGCTTCTAGAATATGTTGGGAAGAAAAATCTCGAATTTCTCCTTTTAAAATTCCCCAAGTTATTAGGGCTTGAACGAAAATCACTGAGATTGGCAATATTTGATGTAACTTAAACAAGAAATTTACAAAACCTATTGTTGAAGAATATTTTGATCCAAAAACATTAATGGAAAATACTAAAATATACTTAGAGCCACTTGTGCGTTTAAGCTTTCAATGCAAAAGAAAAAGGAAAAAAATGATAATTGTGGCCAATGAGGCAGTGATAATTTAATATTATACGAAATAAATGGTAATCCATATAATTTTGTAGGAGTAAAATATATACAGAAATGCAGACGTGGCATATGTATGGGTTTGGAAAATGAGAAGGATAATGGAGGGAGAGGGACCGTACCTTGAGTGTTTTGAAGGTGGACGTTGATTCCGACGCTCTTTTAGCCATGTGATGAGCGAGGTTCCCTCCGGCACTATCTCCGGCGACGAAGCAGCATGATAGATTCACGTTTCCCGGTAAGATCCCCCGGTTCTTCTCGTCGTCAAGGAACTTCAGCACATCAAATCCATCGTCGTACTGCGCAGGATACCGGTATTCCGGCGCCAGACGATAGTTAACGGAGACAACGACGGCCGGGATTTTCCTGGCAAAACGGCGGCAAACGGCGTCGTACGCCATCCCATCCGCGCTGAGGTACACAAACCCTCCGCCGTGGAAGAAGACGATGATCGGAAGTGTACTCATTTTCAGGGATTCATCGGTGGTGGGAACGAAGAGACGGAACCAGAGATGGCGGGAAGGATCGACGGTGACGTCGGAGGACTTAACACCGTTAACTGGATCGGGATTGGCCGGAGTTTTGAGGGTGAAGAAACCGAGGAGGCGGCGGTTGACAGTGCCGTTTTGACGGCGAGAATAATCGGTAAAGGTGGAGATGACAGATAGTGCAATACGAGTTCTCCAAGGAAGTGGGGGCGATGAAGCTGACGGTTTCTTCGATTGAGCATTGAGGAATTTTTCTTGCTGCGCCATAGATGCAAACCTCAAGAGCAAGAGAGGAAAACGAAGAGAAATGTACTGTGTGACAAAATACAGTTGAAGCACAAGTTCTCCGTATATAATATGTTGCTCTTTAAGAAATACATAATAAAGTATGATGCTTTTATTAAATTATTCGGTTTCTAGATGAGTTAGTTTCAGTGGCAAGACTTTTCAAACTTGTCTCTTAATGGATAAAAGCTGTGTGGGACCATAAATATTTTTGTTGTTATAAAAGTTTTTCATTAAAGTTAAATGGGTATAATGGAAAGTTTAAATTTAAATTATTTTTAAATTTAAAAGTGTGTCATTTATTTGAAACAAACTAAAATGCAAGTATCTCATCCAATTTAAAACGCACGAAACAATATAGTTGAGCAATTTCCTCAAAGGTTTAAATATCAGTGGGTCCTGAAGCACTATTTTAAAATGTACAATTGCAGTTTGATTTCCTTGCAACTTACATTCCCAGCTAGTATCTGAAAGGAAGACTATAAATGTCGCATGTGGTAGTTGGTAATTTGATCAATAATGCACCATATTCTGTATATGAATTTTTACCTCATATAGCAAAGGTTAATACCTTATTTATTTTAAATAAATATTTTTTTAAAAAATTATATTTCATAGCTACCTTTTGATTTTTATAGCCAAGTGTTTATTTATGGTTACCTCCTACCCTTAAGCCATAAAATACTCTTTGTATTATTTTTCTCTCTCATTCTCTCAGATTTTTCTCCACCCTCTCTCTCTCAACGCCAATCTTTCTCCATAGAAGATAAACTCGTTGAAGAAGAAACTTCTCTCTCTATACTCTCTTCAACATCTTCATCTCCATTTCCTTCAAATTTCAACTCCGATTCCCCTTCCACCTCGTTTAATTCCTTCCGACGAATTCCTCGTTTTCCGAATCTCAAGGTCTTTTTATCGACGCAGCAGCTGTTGGTCGATAATAATGACTCGGCAGAGCAGTTTTTGGGGAATAATTCGATTGCTGATTCCATGAGGTTTAAAAAAGGCACTAAACAGAAGCTGCCATTGAGGGGAGGCTTATGCTTGATGGGTTTGGTAAAAGCTGTTAATGGGGAAGAAAAATAGTGGCACTAAACAGAAGCTGCCATTGAATTTACAAGTAGTTACTGTTAGGTTTGTTCTCGCATAACTTTGCCTTCTATTGCCGGAATAGTATCATAGTAACGGAAACAATGACGAACCGAGTCAGAATCGCAGTCCTCTTGATGAGACGGCATTAGGGTTGATCTTGAACAAAGACGACGGAGTTTGGGGCTGAGCAAATTGAAGATTCTTTTACCTTTTTTTAAGTGTATTTCATTGTATGTCGCTGTATTTCCATGTATTTCATTGTATTCATTGTTTTTTTAATTGTATTTCAGTGTATCTCGCTGTATTCCATGTATTTCATTGCATGCACTGTCTCACTATATTTCATGAATGTATTCATATGTTTTTTTTGTTAATATAATTTATGTATTCAGATGTATTATATAATTTCTCTGAAGATTGCTATATTTTTGGGGTGTTTTTCGGTTGAGAATCTTTTTTATAACTGGAAATACAAAATTTGTGTGTTATAATTGAGTTTGTTGAGTTATATTAGGAGTCCATTATGTTAATTGATTCACTTTCCGTTTAAAAATAGTGTAATCCCCTGTGTTCACGCCGTGAATACAATCGAATGCAATAATCTGTCTAATTGTAATCCCATGTTTCACGCCATAAATACAGTCGAATACACTCGAATACAAGAATCTGTCTAGCTGTAATCCCCTGTTTCATGCCTAGAAATGCTACTGTATTCATGAATACAATAGCTTAAATACATTGAATACACTCTAAAAAAAATCAAAAAATATAGCTATAGGAAGTAATATAGTAAATGGTAGCTACAACTAGCTAATAACCACTAAAACATAGTGGTTTCTGAAAGTTTCTCTTCTGTATAATCAATGTCTCAAATAGAGTCGTCAAAATGGGCTTGGCCCGTGAGGCCAGCACAATCCAGCCCGCTACTTGGGTAGGGCTGGGTTGGGATTTTTTTAGTCCTTTTAAAATTGAGGCTTATAAATTTGGCCTAATTCAGCCCGGTGGCACATGAGGCTTGATCGAGGCTGGGTCTTGGCCAGCCCGTGGGCCAAAAATTAATTATATTCAAATTTAAATATTTAAAAAAAAGTAAAACTAAAAACAAATATTAACTATAATCCCCATTTTTCAACCTTAGATTGCTCATTGACCCTTCCATATCAACTAGAATTTATATTTTTGATATGCATGTAGTATGACAAGATTAGTTTTTCTTTTGCTTAACTAACAACGAACTAGGAAAGTTTTAAGTAGCCAATAATATTTTTTTCAAAAGACAATATTATTTTAAATGGCCAATGATTAGTTTGGTTACTTTAATATATTATTAATTATTAAATTGCTCTTCAGGTATAGAAAAAAGTCAGGTTTTAATACCCATTTTTTTTTACAATACTAGCAAATATCATGAATTTTAAAAATTTCATGGACTATAATGATGAAATCGACAAATAATGTTAAACCTAAATTAAAAAACTTAACATATAAACTTATTGAAGCAATTCCTGAATCTAAGAAAAGTGAAAGAAAAGTACTAAAAAATATTCATGTAACGTTAAAAAAATAAGAGCTAGAGATATAGAGAATTTGCATTTCAATTACGAGATTCCTATTCAAATATCAAGATTCTTGTACACTCTAAATGAACAGAAGTCGTTCATATGATCAAGAGATTATATCACGAAAAAATATCTAAAGGTTTGGAGAAATATTTTGATCTAAAAAAATTGAAGGGCCGACCCGCCCTAGCCCGCGACCCTCTTAGGGTTGGGCTGACCATTTTAAGGCCCATATAGATGGAGGCCCGCCCCGCCCTAGCCCACCAGATTTAAAAGCCCATGAGACTTGGGCGGGGTTGGGCTGGGCTAGCCCGTTTTGACAGCTCTAGTCTCAAAATATGGATATTGAATAATATTAAGAAGATTTGAATCATATGATCATAAACTAAAGATGCGAAAAGCATATTAAAAATATTTTTTGAATCTTTTGATAATAAACGTATCATATCATTTCTATAAACGAGTATTATTAAGGGCAAAATAGTACTTTAAGAATTAAAACCCTAATTGATATAAAGAGTGGTATTTGTTTTAAACAAAATAATTACAAAAAATTAAGATGTACAAATTAATAGCATGTTTGACAATTTGACAACAATAGTACCCCGGATGAAATTTCTTTGAATCCTATCAATTTGATTGCACACCTAAGCAGGTAACTTAATGTACTGTATGACATGACCAGGGATGCATCCCAGAGAGGACTTGGCTAAGGTAGTTCTCCCAGCCATGTTCATAAAGTTAGTTTTCCAGCCAGCTAACTTAGCTTGCATACTATCAATGATGAATCGGAAGTCCCTATTAGTTGGCCTCTTATGGAAGATAGGAAAAATAAATATTTCCCAAAAGAAGTGCCGGCCTTAATGTCCAGTGTCCTAGCTAAGCTATTTATTGTATCTTGTTGGCAGTTCGAGGAGAAGACAACTTTGGACTTTAGGGTATTGACCCTTTGTCCAGATTGACAGCTGAAGTGGTGCAGTGTCTCCATGATGGTGCCATAGTTTTTGGTATTTTTCCTTGCAAACAGGGTTAGGTCATCAGCAAAGAATATGTATGAGATTTTTAGCCCAGTGTGGCTAATTTTGTTAGGGAACCAGCTACCATTATACACTTGGGGCTCAATGCTCATGGAGAGTATTTCCGTGCACATGATGAAAATGTAAGGGGACATAGGGTCCCCTTGTCTGATACCTCTACTAGGATGAAAGAATTCAGTTCTACCCCCCCCCCCCCCCCCATTTACCAAGACAAAGATAGAGCTTGTAGAGATGCAAGACATGATTAACTTGGTTATATTATGGGGAAATCCAAAGGACACCAGAGTGTCTCTAATAAAGGACCATTCTAATCTGTCAAAAGTCTTTTCTAAGTCAATTTTGAGGATCATGTTAGCATCTTTTCCTTTCATCTTAGTGAAATGGCTTATGCATTCCTGCACAATGGTGGCATTTTCGCTGGCCCTCCTATTGGATAAGAAGCTAGCTTGGCTTGGGCCAATGATGGTAGGGAGAACAGGCTTGATTCTGTTGACAATTATTTGGTAAATCAGTTTTTACATAGTGTTGCATAGCTCAATAGGTCTGAAATTCTTAAGGATTATGGCATTGGCACACTTGGGGATCAGACAGAGATAGGTTGTGTTTACTTCAGGCTTCATTTCTAGGGTATGGAAAGTCTGACTATAGAAATGGGTGATCTTGTTCTGTAGGATATTCCAGTATCTTTGGTAGAAGAGAGAGTGGTTACTATTAGGGCCAGGGGCCTTTGAAAGAGAACATGGCCACCTTTATCTCACTACTCCTTAGTGGAGCATTCAGAGTAGATTCCTCTCTAGTGGACAGGGTATGAGCACCATAGGTTGAGCTCTGGCAGGGTGTGGATGAGAATTGGTGTTCAGTGGTGAAAAGATTGGAGTAGAGTGTTTTTTATCTCATGTTGCTCTTCAACCGAGTTCCCTACTTCATCCTGTAGGGTCATGGTTTTGTTTCTTCTTCTCCTATTGAGAGTTTAGGTATGAAAAAACCTAGTTTTAGCATCCCTTTCCACCGGCCAATAAATCCTAGACTTAGTTTTCGAAAAGACTTCCTCACAATTAAGAATAGAGGAATATTCCTCTAGAAGCTGACCCTCAAGATCTTGTAGGAAAGTGCTAAAGGTGTAGGCATTAGATTTCTGAATGCCCCCAAGTCTGGGAAGAATATGCTTCTTCTTATAAAAGATATTGCCAAACACAATTTTGTTCCAAGTCAACATTTGGGCTTGGAACTGAGCAATACCCCTCTGTAGGCTACCACTCCCCTCATAGGCTTGTTGGACAATGTTAGAGAAGGATGGGTGACTACACCATATGGGTTCAAACCTAAAGGGTCTAGAGGAAGTATTGAAGGCATTGAGCCATAAGCTGACCAAACATAGGGTAATGGTCAGAATGGGTTCTAGGGAGGTGGCTCACATTA